CGAAGGGTCCTCTTTTGTCTGAATGGAAGGAAAACGAAGGGAAACGGAAGAAAGGGACAGACCGCCCTTTTACATTCGTTCATTGTATGCTACATACATATATTTATGCATGCATGTATTTACCGTGCATATATATCTACTTTGCGTACGTAAAACATTTACTGCGAGATGCGGTTTTAACCTCGAATACGAAATTACCACTCTAGGTTCTCGTGTTACGGCCCTGAAGACTGTATTATAGTTTACAGTTTATACTATATACTGAAGAGAGCATATTCGTTGGAAATAATAAAAGAATACATTTGTTTTCTTCTTCCCAAGATATTTGTGATTATAGCGTTTGATCATGTTACGTTCTCTTTTCTTTTTATTATCTAGCGAGAAACAAAAATAATGAGTTGAAAATAAATAAAATAAAATAGTAAATTTGTTTAAATTTCATTTTTCGTAAAGTGAGAACATATTGTAATGTATTTTCATATTTTAAAGTTCTTAGGTATATGTTATAGTTACGTAACACGCTTTGATGATTTGATAGATAGTTTAGACACGGTATTCTGAACGATCTAACATGACATGTATAAAATTTCAGGGAATGCAGCGCTGTAAAGTGCACATCTTTATCATTTCTTTGAAAAGTTCGCGTCAATATTTTGTATATTTAAGTATAAAATTTAAATGACTCTATTATACGACTATTCTCTATTCCTTCCTCGTTCTGTTTCTTCTTTTTATCTTCGAGATAGAATCAAACCGAACCGAATGTAAAAAAAAGTTCTTTTTATGCTAACGCAGCTGGAACAAAGTATATTCGCCGTTATTTTATGAACCTTTATTCTATAAATTGCCATACGATTTTCTTTTATTTTCAAAATGGTTCTCACCAGAGAAAGATTTATACGTAAAATCGAAACGTAAAAGTGACATTTCCTTGAATTCGTGATAGAATATTCTTAATCGTATATGTCGAAATAAAGAAACGAACGAAAAAATAGAAAGAAAGAAAAAGAGAGGAAAAACACGTTGCGAAAGTTGGATATATCGGTGAAAGGTAGAAATTAATATAGTTTGTCAGAAAAAAAAAAAAAAACCGTTTATGACTTACATTAGATCACGTTTTATGTGCCAACGGAAATCGTTCTTGATAAATATCTCTTTGCAATTTTAAATTTAATAAAATGTAATGTGTCTACTTTAGAAAACGAAACAAAAATAAAATAAAATATGAAATTAATCTAAAAAGTATTGAAAGTGTGTATATCATAAAAAAATATTTAATTATTAAACTTATTTTTCTACGACTCTGTATTCTTTAGTTAAATAAATTATATTTTATTTCATGTATGTTCAGAAATAATATGTCGAGGCAAATAATGTTGAAAGATAATTATCTATTTGAAATATTTAATATACGTTAGCAATATATCTTATAAAAATAATTTAACAAATAGAGTTCCATCATAAAAGGTATAAATTTAAATGCTCTCGCGTGTCAGTTGGATTTGATTTTTTCTGTTAATTTTATTCTTTTACTCTGTAGTAAAGTATTTTTTCAAACATTCTTTTGAATTGCAATGTTAAACTTATTGTGTCTCGCTTGAAATTGTTGGTGCCCGTTGCTTGGGTGTTTCATCGTATCTCCCTTATCGTCTCCCTGCAAATTTTGCCAGATCGATATTTTCCCCGTTTCTTCCCAACCACTCAAATAACGTTCTCCCCTAAAAAAAACCTTTCAACTTTTCGTCTCGTTTGAAAATTTTCATTACCTTATCAGAAGAAGTTTCACTTCACAAAAATCTTTCCTTCCCTCGCTATCTCTTTATTTCTGCTTTGTAAAATAATCAAATAATTGATTCGTGCGAACACTGCTGACAATACTTTCTAGTAGAATTCAAATAAAATTTCAATTGTGTTGTGATTTCAATGTTGCCGCGACTAACCTCATAATTAAAAAATGATTTCGAAAAGAACGGAGTAAGTCATCGATGAAAATGTAATTGCGATCTATTCTCTTAGCTTTCGACAAGTTTCTCTTCGTATTCTTTTTACTCGGAGATGGAGGGGAAGGGGTGGGCTTGTGGGATACTGTCAATACAAAGTATCCCAGTTTACTTCTACATCGATTGACAGCTAAGATCCTCTCGAATTTTCTATCAAACGATTGAAGTACGTACGAGGGCTCGTATTTTACTTAAAAATTTTCCATTTAACCCATTTTCACGTCCATTACTATCTCTTAAACGATTAATGTCTTATCGAGAATAATCTTTATAAAATAAATATATTTTTTTAAAACATACAATATAATATATACTATATATACCTACTGGAAAATATATCCATGTGTTCAACTTTAATTCAATTTAAAAGAAAAAGATAAACTGTCTTTCTCTCTCTCTCTCTCTCTCTCTCTCTTTTTTCGAGTTTACACGAAAATTCGAAGTTCGTTGAGTCGCACGTATCCATGTAGTAGTAGTTAGACGAGAATTACGTGAATGTATTATTCGCGTATAGCTTTGTCGCATACGAATGAATATTTATGTTCTAGTGTTGGTGCACTTTGTAGTCTATGTGAGTAATGCGAACCAACCAAGCATGCCATCCTCTCCCTCCCATATAACCCCGTACAACTCAGTGAGATATTCCGGCTGTCGAACCTTTGCTTGAAAACCCAATAGGGATCGATAGATTCGTGAAACCGACAGTAAAGGCTATGCGAATTCGTGACAGAGAGAAGAAACCCCTTTTGACGATCCGAATATATATATATATTGCTAAAAGTTCAAAGAATCCATACAAATTATACTAGTCTTGTATATCGGAATCATAAATGCTATTAAAAAAAAAAAAAAAAAGAGGGAAAACAAAAAATAAAGCAACCATTTCCAAATTTTTTTTATCTATTTTATGGTATTTGCACGTGGATAAATTATATTATGAATGGAATGGAAAAAAATGAAATGAAATATTTAATTGAAATAAATGGTAATGGTTATTGTGAGACAATGAAGACAAAAGAAAGAGAGAGAATAAAATATTCATCATTGAGATAGAATCAAAAAATGTCATCTCGAATGTATAGTTTGGAAAATGATTTGGTACAGTTTGGAACCGGTCAAATAATTGGTTTTAACATTGAAATGAAAATATGCTAGTAAGTACAGTCGATGGTGTAACAATGGAAATTACGATAGACGAAATAAAATGCGAAATTTGATTTAACCAATTCTCGAATTTCTGCAGTGACTACGTCGGTGTAGTTGGAAAAATAACAAAAAAAAAATAAAAATTACAGTCCAGTTTAGTTAGCAGACAGATATACACACCCTGTATAATTCGAGACTCGAGTTTAAGAAGAACACTCGAAGAGTTGAACCAAACTCTGAACATGTAACTGAACACGTAGTATAACGCAACGATGAAGGATACTACCATAAGTATAGTAGTATATATATATAGTATATGCTCGAATTAAAATGGTCCTCTGAAACTCATTCTTCGAATTAAACGGATTAGATCCAATCAGCAGTCCTCTTCTCGTAACGTTATTTCGTTCATGCCGTTGTCGTTACTTCATCCAACAAGTGTACACTGTGCATGCAATACCATCGTCAATAGCGACACATTCAATTTGTACTTTTGCCTTTTGTTTAATCGAATTTATTCTATCTCTTTCTTTCCTTCATTTTCTCATTTCAGAAGAATAAACGTAGTATGAGAATTAAAAACGTGTAAAGGAAACACGTGACGTTAGCGATTAAACTTTCTTGCCCGTTGTTATATTACATTTCGTTAGTATATGTTATATTATATTTATTCATTAAGTTTATTTACTAATTCGTTGTTTTTTCTTGCTTTTTTATGTTTAGAATCTAAAGCGTTTTGATAGAAATTATAGAAAAATAATGAAGATAGAAAGGTGTCGATTGAAAAGATTTGAGTATTATACAAATACATCGTTGGACGTGCATTCGTGTACTGTAGCTATATTTTACCGTACCTTCCGTCCCACCCGGTAGCATTAATCAATTGGCCGACACTGATCCAGCGTTAAATCGACGCGTCTGCTTAATACACTTGACAGATTGCGGTTGCTACCGACGGAGGGAATCGTAAAGCAAACTGTATAATGCACATGCACCTAACGCATCCAAGATTCAAGGATTTATCATTCGTCCTTCCATATAATAACTCCCATTTATTTTTCCTTTTTTATCTAAGTGAATGTTTTTCTTTTTTTTTTTTTTTTTTTTTTTGCCAATTTCCTGCTCGAATCGATCCATCGAAATTCTTTTTCTACGTTTCGTGATGTTATTGCGAACGATCGGCTAAAAGTCGTACGCACGCACGCGTTGACATAGGTGACACATATACATATAGTCTTTCTATACAGTCACGTATAGAAAGCATACAGTGGGATGAAATCATGCGTATCATTGACGACGACAACGAACGCGTTGCGAAACTTTATCGAATGTCTTCTCCATGTTCAATATTGACTCTAGGAAAGTGCCTGCGGATGGAAACCTTCTAATTTTCCGAGCACCGCTTTCATGATGCAGGGCAAATACAGAAAACGATCCTATATATCTTCCTATGTATGCATATATCTATACAGGATGTTTCAAAAAACATATATCTTAATATAGAATAAAATTTGTAGCAATATTGGGGATAGTAAACAAAATATATTCTTACATATTATACATACAATCCAGGTATGTATGTATAACACACTTACCTACAATCTTGTTTGTTACGATCGCAAATATTAATTATTACATAACTTAGTAACAACTTTCCGCAGGAAGTTGCTCATTTCAAATCAGTAAACAGATATAATACGACTTATGATAGGTTACGATATTATTCTATTTGTGTTCAATTTGAATAAAACAGAACGTAAGCGTGTAGAATAGAATTAAAAAAAGTTAATGATCGATCTTAAGTTTTCTTTTTTATTATTATCTTATTTTGTATTTTGTTGCTTTTGCTTTCAGCTACTTAATTCTCTGGCGACTGATTTGGACTGCATGCTGAGCGAGCTCTGCACGACCCCAGATTCCTACGAACGGTGAGCGTTTACCTTCTTTTTCTAATACTTATTTACGAGGTCAAGTGCGAGAACAAGAATTACAAAGAATAGATCGAGACTACCTTCCGGACTTCCAAACTTCTATTTGATTTATTTTCTTTTTCTTTTCTCTTCTTTATATCGATAGATCGGCATTTAATTCTCGTACGTTATTTATCGTCTTTTTGTTTTTCCATTAACGAACGATTAACGCTAAATATTTACAAGATGATTTATTGAAAATCTTACGAATATTTTTCTCACAAAATGAACATACGAAAATATCAACTTTGATCATTCTAGAATTAAAATTAATGAATTTGCAATGGATATTCAGACACGGATATTTGTCAAAATAATATCTAACGTAAATGAATTTTACGAGACATAAATCGAGCAACTTATTTATTCTATACGCGTGCATACTTGTTGATTGGTCGTGTTACTCGTTTCTCAAAGATTGACACAAATGTGTTTTACGATGGCGATATCATTGATCGACGTGCTGATATAGAACGTCGATAGATATAACTTGTGTGTATATATATATTTTAAGAAATTATGACTGTCTTAAGGTGCATATAAATCGATCTTTCATCATGACTTTCTCTCACTTTCGTAATTAACTTGTTAATCATTAGATATTTATATCAAACACTGTTTGAAAACACACTTTATATAATTTTATTATTTACTATTTAATATTATTAATCATTCTAATTGTTCTTTCGAACGGATACATTTTATACTGTCAAATTGATTTAGTAATTAGTGATAGAAGAGAAATACTGTATGGCGAACAAATGTACTCAAAACTTAATTACCTTTGTGCTTGTTTGGGCTAACGTAGAAGCATATTCGAGATAATTATTTAGGACGATCGCGACATTTGTAAAGGTTTATAAAGGGAATACCAGCTAGTCATTAAATTCTAACTAGGAATGCAGAGAATGTATATGCAATATTGCCGAGATATATTCTAGTTAAAATTATTACTCGAACGATACGCTCTGCCGGTCACATTTAGCCATAGTTATTATTCTTTAGTATTTTGTACTTAGGTATTACTATTTATATACTCTTACCCTATCATCCTTTCTAATGGGTACAAGATCCAGGACTACTATACACGTGTCATATAATTATTATTTATTTTTACATTATGCTAACAACTTAGGTACCTTAAGAATATTTGAAATTATAATCGACTATTTTTCTATGCACTTTTAAGGCTTATTTAATAGTCTTAGAGTCTATAGTTAATAGTCTAAAGACAAACATTTGATATAAACGATAATTTAGATAATACATTTCTTTATAATTTTTCTTTCTTTTTAATTAAGTTTATGTTAAATATTACAAACAATGTTTGTAGAATGAAAATAATTTTAGAAATGTATTTAAACAAAATAGTCGAACAAAAAGATTTCAATTACATTCGCGTAAGTACAATAGGGCATAAACTTAATTCGTGAAGGATACATCGTTTATCGTACAAACACGTTCGACACGTGTATGTCGTAGTCATTGACGTTTCTCACCATTTCATCGCTTTTGTTTACCAGCTATTATACATTATTGATCAACAACACGTTGACCACTTTACTTTATACGAATCGATGCAAATCTGATTGAAAGTATGTAACACCATACTATGATGCTTTCTATCAAATCAATTAATATATGTCGTTGACAAATTAAATATAAAGAATTTATTACTTAATACTTTTTGTTCATACAATTAATTTCGTATTTATTATAAATATTAATCATTATTTTTTTTTTGTTTATTACAAGACAAAGAGATATCATCATTCATACTAATTCTCAATCGTCTAATCTTGTGATTTGAAGTATTACGATTTACGTCGTTCGTTTTCATCTTATTTATGACGAAAATCTAACCGTCATCTTATAACACCATAAACGTTCGTTCCTTCGTTCATTGGTGGAGAAATAATTTCTATGGGACCGAGAAAGGCAAGACATGACTACCGTCGATGATCTATGGTAGACTTTAGATAGAATATTCGCCGTGCTATATGGTAGTTTAACATTATACAACGGGTGTCCTCTTTACAGTGATCTTATCTAAAAGTATTGCTGCTTGCTTCTCCTTCTACTAGATAATTTGGGATTGATCTCATTTAATTTACATTTAATAAAATTGTAACAAATAAAACAATAGTATTTATTTGTAATAATAAATGAAAATAATTCTAAAGAAAGAGAAATAAACTAGGAGAGAGAGGTCATAGGAGATAAAAGATCTCATTTACCCTCTCGTTATGTTTGCGTGTTACATATATTATATAGGCTGACACATACACGCCAAGAGTAGTAAGAGAGCACTATGGGGTAGAGTTTATATCTTAAGATTTAACATCCTGGGCGTGTTGCATTCACCCTGAGAAGATTGACGACGTCTTCCTGTAATTCCTGTAGAATTTCAATGGGGAATCGAAGCTGGTTTAGACTTATAGAATCGCAGAAAGATTATAGTGACGACTTCGAGTTGGTCTTAAGTACGAACAAATACGAATAAAGTTACTCGAAAAGTTCTCGTGATGATTTATAAATAATATTTATTATAGAATTAATATATTTATATATATAATTTATTTAACAATAAACCTGCACGAATTTTCCAAGCAACTACAATATATTGAAACTTATTACTATATTACGTATGTTCTTTATTCTCCAAAAGATATAACATTAACATATTTCTAAGCTTTGTAAGAAGAAAGCTCGATAACTCGGGTAATTTAAATGCAAAAAATTTTAATTAACCACCTCGTTTCTTACCATTAATGGACGAGGATGGTCTGATATTTTTCTTTTAAAAGAAACCAAAAAACGACCGACAGCTGTTCACACAGCCGGTGTGGTTGCTAGTTGTATGCGATTATGCGTAATATTACGAGCCTCGATTCGTAATCGTATGCTGAGAATAATTACTCTTTTCTTTTTTCATTCCTACAAATGTTAATTTAAAATACATTTTATTTATTTAATTATTTTAATCGATTCGTTTGTTTCGTCTCGTTTAATTTCCTTTCGCGTCCCTCATATTTATCTAACTTTTTATCTTTCTCTTTCACCTTCTCTCTTATTGTGATTCAAAATCGAGTAAGATCTCTCTAGTATAAGGACGAATGAAGATTGTTGTTTCGCGTCGCGATGATGAACGACAGGAAGTTTGTAAGACGAACGATCTCAGCCCTTTTCATTCCCTGTGTTTTATTCCTCCCTTTCTACCTTCGCTCCCTTTATATTCCATCATTATAAAACGTTACGAATGTTTTCTGTAAAATTCGAGTCTCGAACGATTAAATGTTAAGATGATGAAAATATCGTAGAAGATAAATCGTTGCAAGTAACCCTGTCATTTTTATCGACTATTATACTACCAATACTTTTTTGACTCTATTTTTGACAATTTGTTTTATGAGAATAACCTGCAAGTTTAAATGATTTTCTTTATTTCATGAGACAAAGTAATTAAAAAAAAAAATTAAAAAAAAGGAAAAATGTGACTCGTTTGGTAGTTATCGTTGAAGAAAAAAGGGACTACGAGTTACTATGAGCGACGTTAATCGTAAATTTCATAATCTAAAACGTTCGTGAAAGAGTATAGGGAGAAGTGAGAGAGGGTAGAAAGTGGAAAGAGGGTGGATGTTCAATATTTCCGGAAAAGGAGAAACGGAGAGAGGATAAAAATCGCAACCTAGCTTGATATTCGCGTCGAGTGGATGAAAAAACAGAAAATTTCATTCGGGAAGCTGACAACGCTCGATGTATAGTGTGCGTCTGGGTATCGAGCTTGTTCTCACTTTTTCTCTCTCTCTCTCTCTCTCTCTCTCTCTCTCTCTTTTTATTTCCTTCGTGATAAACGAGGGACGTAAAAATCGATCGCGTCGCGCATCTTTCCATCCAACAATTTTCCGCACGAATCACAATTTTTATTTTAGTTTTTCAATGAATTATCATTTTTTAGTTTTATTCTAACATACTAGAAAAGGTTCGGAGAGTAACCAGGAAACTTTAAGAGTCAATATTTTTATGCGATAAGTAATTAGAAAATTTGATTTGTTCCTATGACTATTTGATTTATTTTGTTGGGTCTTTAGTTCATTACTAATGAAAGAGATTTTTTTAATGTTTAGGATCAGTTTTGGAATAGTAGGAAATGCATATTACAAGTTAATGAATTAACAATTAATTGAACCCTTGTATTGATTAGTTCATAAAGTTAAGGATTCAAAGTGAAATGACAATTTTTTGTATTTCTTCTACAGATGAGAAAAAAAAGATTTGAACGTTTGAGCGTAAGTAAGTAAGTAAGTAAGTGTTTACTTTTTTGCTCGTTATCAGGACTTTCCATTACATTGAAAACTGTCTGGGGTTTAGGTCTTTCGCGTCGCTAGCAGATTTTCTCTCTGGTCCCACGCCACTGTCACTTTCAGCCCCCTAACACGATGCTTTCCCGCTGAGGGTGAGAGAAAAAGAAAGAGAGATAGTTCAGAATTGAAATGAAATTCCGTCCCCCAGTCCGCAACGCCTGTGGTTGAATTATTATCGGCCAGTAATCTCACTAAAAAGTTCGCCTTCCTGAAATATCGCCATTCTTCTCGTTCCTCTCATCTTTTTTTTTTTTTTCTCTTTCTCTCTATCTCTTTCTTTTTCTTATCACATTATTATCTCATTTTACCATCATTATTTGCATGGTAGTTTAGGGATAGAAAAATTGTTTAAACAATAAATAATTATTTCATAATTTTCTAATCACGTTTTAATGAAACTGGTTATTTCGAAATGCTTTGTACTTTTTATCGGATTTTTTGGTGCACTACTTTTGTCTCAAACTATATATAATAGATTTTATTATTTCTCTTACATTTATAATATATTGCTTAAACTTTTACCTTATGTATATCTGATGTATTGTCTTAACATTAAACTTAACGTTGGAAAAATTCACGTAAGTATATCCTTAA